CGAGCATCAAGCGGCGATCGCACCTTGAATGACGATCATTTTGTCACCCATTGTGCCTGAGGGGACCTCCCGGATGCACCCAGCTTTCCCCAGTTTGCTGGCGCTGAGTTCTTGCGCTCGGGGGACGATCCTGCCTTCGGTTGCAATCGCCAGCATTTCAATTTCCACCCCCCCAACCCAACGCACCGCCGGAATGTCCGCAGCCAACAACAAATGGTTCGCCTCGTCGTCGAAGCCCCATTGACACACCACCTGTCCCCGAAGAGCATATGCACGCAGAAACACAGAAACACACACACACACACACACGTACAGATTCATGTATGTATGTACATAAGTGTGCATACACACGTACATACAGGGGTGGGGTGGGACAGGGAAGGAATGGAGAAATGTGCCAAATACTGACAAAGTTTGCTCCAGCCTTCTTAACTTGCTCAATCATGTCTTTGAAATAATTCTGTTCGGCAGCCTGCAGCTTCTTGTAGTCTGCAGCATTGGTGATGTCGAGTTTGTGTTTTGTCTTCGGCTTCGGGGGTTCAAAGGGGCATGTCAAGATGGCGATCTTTGCGTCTTTTGTCTCCTTGCGCATCTGCGAATGGCTCAAATCCTTGTGCAGCACAATACCCCGCACCAACGTCGACTGCTCCAACAGACCGCCTGCACGGCCGTCCAGCTGCGCGCAAACCTCAAACCCACGATACACAACAAAACCTCGACAAACAACAGACCCTCTACAAACCCCAAGCCCTCAACAAACAACAAATCCTCGACCCCAATCCCTAAACCCCCGATCATAAAGTTTGTAGTCGTGAAAACACATATATGTCAACCCTTGAAAATATCTCAAAATTAACGCTTCGTTTGCAAAAGGCCGACAGGTGTACATACACTTCACAAGAGCTCTGGACTCGACGTAACGCGGGATCCGTCAGAACACAACTGTGCGGGAAAAAGCAAATGTGCTAGGTCTTCAAAGTTGGTGGTTCCAGTTACCTTTATCATGTCTAAATTCACGTCTTTCCTCTCCTTGTCCGCAACCGCCAGCACTGCCTGCACGCAGAGATCTGCCAACTTCTCCTTGCAGCTGCTCACGACTTTCGAGCCCAGCGCAGTCTTGGCAGTCTGACGCCTGAATAACCCAGTAATGCAGTTACACGGACGCCTCGATGAAGTTGTTTAGCCAGGTAAACGCCGCATAAGCATTCACAGACCCTGATCAGCTGGGCATATACCCGAACTATGCGCATCCCGTACACCGTGGAGGAACAAGCATATTCAAAGCGGTAGCTATTGTCCATGCATCCCCAAAATGCATGCATGCAGCTCAATCTATATTCCGGCATCAGTACAATGTACTGATGTGTAGTTGTATCTTGCTATTTGTCTGTGCAGTGAAGTGGCAGCCCGTCAGTATGCACGTCTCTCGCTATTCACCATGTT